ACCCACAAACAGTGCAAAACAAAACATTTTGGTCAGGCCAAAAGCAGAGCTGGTGTGAACCGTGCACCTCTCTCGAGCGGACACACACGGCCCCCGTGGGCCGAAAAACCGCCCCCGTCCAGGACATCGGGCGGCAGGGGGTCCCCAGGAAGGCCGTGAGCTCACTGGCTTTGGCACGGCATCCACACTTACGGCACTGACCGAAATCTCCCGCGATCTGCGGGCAATTGTGAGCTGAACTCAGAGCTGCGGTTCTGAGCCGCTTCGCACGAGTATTGCGCACACGAGCCTTGGGCGGACGCGGGGGCCTCTTGCCCTCCTTATCCAGCACATCAGCCATAACGCTGAGAAGGTGGTTCTGAACCTTACGCGTGACAGCGTCGGCCATCTTCACAGCCGCACTCACGGCATATGGCACTCGAATTTCCTTCTCAAATTCACCAGCGACGTGATCGGCAATGGCGTTAGCCAACACAAAACTCGGGTTGAGACCTCTCTCAGCAGCCTCCTGGACAGACAGGTGGCTGGGCACACGGACGAGGTACAGATCCCTAACGCGCAGCAGCTCACGCACACGCACCCACAATCACGGTGGCTCGAAACGCGGGCTCCGAGACCAGCAGCAATACGAGCAACGCCTCCGGACACATAAGCAGAGTCGGCTATATAACCGAGCTGGGCCCCCTCGGGGCTCTGCCCCAAAAACTTGAGAAGGGCCCAGAGCTCCCCCCGATTGACACTCTGCTTGCCAGTGAAACCACCTCCAGCAATAAACGCCAGGCTGGACGCGGCACTAAACAAGGGGAGCACTTCTAAACTCAGCCCAAAAAACACGACGCCCCAAGACACCCGCCTGAGCCTACGATCCCTCGAGAACTCCCCCCCACTAGCGTCCCCCGCACCCCAGATGCGACGCCCCTCCACATGGGGAAAGGCACCTGACGCCGCGAAGAGAGGCGAATCGGGGGGAGGGGGAGCGTGTGTCCAGGACTTGGGTGTGAGGCCGCGGAGCCAGAGCACAGGACATTCCTCTGCCGCCGAGACCCCTCGCCTGGCAAGGGCCTCGGAGATTTCCTGAAACTCTGAATTACAAGGGCATTCCCAGAATCTGTGAACGTCGGTCTCAGGACTTAGCCCGCACCTGGGACCGACTTCCGAACAATGACCTCCCGCACTAACGATGCGGGCTCGAGTCCACACAGCACCTGTGAGAATCGCTCTGAGCAGGCCCGCTTGCTTGGCGTTTTTTTTTTGCGCAGGCTGGCAACATGACGGCGAGCGATTGTAAAATCAATACCTGCTTCCGAGCCGAGGCCGTTGCGGAACTTGGAGGCGCCAGCCCACAACTGAGTCTCAATCGAATTCGCAACTGACTGCTTGAAGTCGGATGTCATATAAGCCTCGGATCGGAGCTCATCGGGGAGGGCATATTCTTCACCCGTTGGAGCTGTCCAATGCCAGGGCCCATCCAACTGCCACCCGAGACCCAGCATCGTGGCGACGATGGCCGAAATAGGCCCCCGAATGTTGTGCCAACGACGCTTCGGCCCCAGGCCCCGAATTCTATGGACCGTGTCCCTCCAGCAGCGGTGCATTCTAGGGAGGGACTGCTCCGAAACTCTGGACACGATTTGAAACCAGGAATCCACTAGTAGAATAGGCCAGAGGCCTCTTGAATGCCTCTCGGGGTCTATTCGGCATTCTTTCCAGAGTTTCTTGGAGTCCTTTTGGGGCGTCGTGGGGGTCTCTTGGCAGTCTGGGGGGCCACTTGAGGCGTATTGGGGGCCCTCTTAAGGCTTCTTGGGGTTTGTTGAGAGCCTCTTGGGGGCATCTTGGAGGCATCGTGTCGGCCTCTTGGGGTCTCTTGGCCACCTCTTGCGGCCGTCTTGGGCACCCTTGGGAGCGTTGGGGGGGCGCCTTACTTAGGCCCCCTACCCCCCAGGAGGCCTAACTGTGGCCAACAACCTTAGTGGCATCAATGCTTTTGGCATTCTCGCCGAGGCCTCTTGGGGCGTCTTGGGTGCCTCTCCTGGGCCTCTTGGGGCCTCTTGGGGGTCTCTTGGGAGCCTCTTGGACGCATATTGGGGGCATCTTGCTGGCCTCCTGGGGCTTTCTGGGCACCTCTCGGGGCCCTCTTGGAGCACCCTTGGGGGCTTCGGGGGCCATCTTGGGGTCATCGTGGAGGAGATCGATCAAAGGAGGGGAGCTCCTTGATCAGGGTCCCCCCCAGGAGGCCAACATGTGGCCAACACCTTAGTAACATCACTGATGCATCTTGGGGGATTGTTGGGGGCCTATTGAGGGCATCTTGGGAGCCTTGGGAGGGCCTCTTGGGGCCTCCAGGGTATCTCTTGGGGCTGCCTTGGGGGGACCCTTGTGGGCGTCGGGAGCCATCTTGGAGCCATCTTGGAGGAGATCGATCACAGGAAGGGGAGCTCCTTAATTGGCATCTCCCCCCCCGGGAGGCCAAACTGCGGCCAACGCCTTAGTCAAATCAATGGTTTAGGCTTTCTCGCCGAGGCCATCTTGGACTCTTTAACGCCTCGCGATTCCCCCCCGTCCAGGTCCAGGCGGAGGGGGTAGGTGGAGGGGTCAAGACGCCCTCCCCGCCCGCAAGATGTCTCGCGCTCACTCCCACCCGCCCTCCCAACACGTAAGGAGCACCCGAGCCTCAGCATGTTCAGCGGTCGTCCATGGATGGACAGCTAGTGGGAACCAAAACCGAGCCCATGTGCGCGACGCTGGGGCGAGGTGCGCCACGCGTGCCAGGCACTCCAGGTGCGTTAGGCACCTGTGGCCCAAGCGTGCCAGGCACGCCTCGCGCGCCAGGTGCTCCACGTGCGCTATGTGTGCCGCATTGTCCAGCCGCGCCGGGTGCGCCACGTCCAGGTCACGCGCAGAGTGTGCCAGGTGCGCCCCCGCACGTGACAGCACGCATCGGGAAACAGGTCCGCCCCAACCCTCTTTGTCGAAAGCCTTTGCACAATCGCGGCGGGGAGGCCATCGTGGTGGCTGGTAGGCCTGCGCAGCAGGCAATATGCCAGCACCCCCGCGGTCCTTGTCAAACACCAATGGGCAGTGATCGTGGGGTGGCCGCGCATGAACCAAGTTCAGCCGCGAAGTGCAAGTTGTATTGTTTGTTGGCAGGGATGGTGGCCTTGCGCAAAGCAGACAATATGAGGGCACCCCCACCGTCCCGCTAAGACAATACAAACTGCTCGCGGGACCCACGAGCATGACCCAAGATTTATGTGGCCAATTGGAGGAACTGTAGAATGACATTCGATTGCTAAGGCCTTACGGCCAGTGCCGCCGACCCTGGATACCTCGGCCCTCGAGGGTGACGGGATGCGTGATAAGACGTCGGAGGTAAATCAAGACGTGGCGGAGGAGGAGGCGGAGGAGGAGGAGGAGGAGGAGGAGGAGGAGGAGGAGGAAGGGGAGGAGGAGGAGGAGGAGGAGGAGGAGGAGGAGGAGGAGGAGGAGGAGGAGGAGGAGGAGGAGGGAGGAGGCGGAGGAGGAGGAGGAGTAGGAGGAGGAGGAGGAGGTGGAGGAGGAGGAGGAGGAGGAGGAGGGGGAGGGGGAGAGGGGGAGGGGAGGGGAGAGGGGAGGGAGAGGGTCGCCCATGCATGGGGGGATGCGTATCTGCCCCCCCCCCCCCCGGTGGGGAGGGTAGGGAGGGGCTTCGCCACGACTGCGATTTCCTTATGTTTCGTGCTCGATTTCCTTTTATTTCGGGCGACGGCGATGACGACGACGACGACGACGACGACGACGACGACGACGACGACGACGACGACGACGACGACGACGACGACGACGGTGATCCACTCAAGACGACGACACCGGGGAACTGCAGAATGAAATTCGACTTGGTCTTGTCTTAGGATAATGGCACTTAGCGGCCCTCAGCGGCACGCGCGCTCGTGGCTACGATAGGGTCGGCGGTCTCATTCACGCGCCAGGCCGCGAGTGGCCACGCGCCAGGCCGCTAGTGGCCACGAAGTGCCGCCAAGTGGCTGCTAGTGGCCGCCAAATGGCAGCTCAACGGCCGCTCAATAGCCGCTAAATGTCAAGGGCATAAAAAAAACGCCCCTACCCTGGTTTACGAGGCGCTGTGCGCTGAAACTCCTGTAAGCTGACAGGGTAAACCCTGCGTGATGTGCCGCGTCCTGGCGGCTCTAAACTTTGGGGGGTCCCAGGAGGTTTACAGACCACGCCCTTGTAACCCAGGGTAGGGTCGTTTCTTCATCCTTCAAACATGGCCGCTGGTGGCCGCTAGTCGCACGCGCTAGTGGCCGCTAGTGGCGGCCACAGGCCGCCAGCGGCCACTGCGGGCGGCTACACATGGTAGTTTGCGGAGGTCGCGATGGTCAGTGCGGAGTTCCCCGGGGAGACTGCATAACACGATTTTGCCCCAAAGTGTGCGCTCGTAGTGTTTTTTGGCAGGGATGTGTGTGTGTGGGGGGGGGTTCTCATTGGTCCAGGTTGGCTGCTAGTCGCCTGGGCGAGGGGGCGTTTATCAATAGGGAACAGTGATAAACCCTTCTCCGAAGGGGGTTGGAAGAGGAAGCTCCCCAAACCAGTCACGCACTAAAGGGTTGGTGGGATTCGAGCCACCTCCGTTTTCCAGTTCCAGGATCAGCAGCAGCAGCAGAGGCCGCAGCAGTATCAGCAGCAACGTGAGCGCCCGCACCAGCCCCGCGCGTGTTTTGAAGCGAGTTTGAACCGCGCCACGGCGAGAGCCGCACTTGGGACACCGCCAGCACTCCATCATCCCCGTAGCCGCCGGAGCCTCCGGCCCAGAGCTCCGCTCCACCGCAGCGACGTCTCCTCAGCAAAGCTCCATGCCCGCCGCCCCCCGCATCGTCTGCCATTCCCAGCGCCTGACCCGAGGGGCGTATTCGGCCCAAGGCGCCGCGTGGGGTGCCGTCCTCGCGGGCGGGCGGGGCCAGCCGGGGGCCCACGCGGCCGGCCGGCGGGCCGCGCATGGGCCGGCGATGGCGGCGAACTTCCGGAGGACGCTGTGCAAGTTCTTCCTGGAGGGGCGCTGCCAGAAGGGCGCCGCCTGCGACTGGTCCCACGACGAGGGCGGCGCGGGCCCCGGGCCCGCGCGCCCGGCGGCCAGGGCCCCGCCGGTGAAGCGGACGCTGTGCAAGTTCTTCCTGCAGGGCAGGTGCGAGGCCGGCGAGGGCTGCACCTGGGCCCACGGCGAGGACCGCCAGGAAGGGAACGGGCCCAGGCATGCCCGCATCGCGAACCTAGACACGATCGCTTCGTCTCGAAATCAGGACGGCAAGTTTTTCCTTAGTTTCGGGCCCTGGGGGCCCTCGCCGGGCCCCGGGACCGTCGAAAGACGACTCAGGATGAAAAACCGGCCCTAGGGAAAGGGTCTGGACTTCTGCTGGGGGCGCCGTCCTGAAAAAATCAGGACGTCGCACGTCCGGGAACAAGAGCGCGACGGTGCGTTTTTGGCTGGTTTTGGCCTCTGGAGGCCCTCGCCAGGCCCTGTCAGACAACGACTCAGGGTGGAGCGCCGGTCTTCGGGACAAGGGTTGGTCAGAGGAGAAACAGGGCCCCATACCGCCACACTGACTCCGTTTTCCCCTTTGCGGGCCTCTCGGGCGGCCCTCGTCGCCACCGCTGGATTCGCCCAGAAATTCTGGTCAGAATGCACCCTGGGAGAGGTCCGGGGAGTAGCGGCTACCATCATCGGCACCTGTTGGTTACCCCAGCTGGGACGTCCCGGGGACATATCGCATGTCTGCGGGCCCCGAGGGGGACCAGGGCACCCGGAGGTGTCCCATCGCGGTCGGCCTGGGGGCTCCTGCCTCGAGGCCGCGGGCCAGGCACAACGCGGCCCGAGACGAGCAATCGGCCCTGGGGACAGGAGGAGGAGGAGGAGGAGGAGGAGGAGGAGGAGGAGGAGGAGGAGGAGGAGGAGGCCTGGACCTCTGGGGCCCATCTCCCCCAGGACCCCTTGCTGTGGTGCTCGTTTTGGCAACCTCCTCGGGGCCCACCTCACGGATCTGTTCGACTCTGGTTCGACCCCAGTTCGCTTCGAGTTCGACCCAGGGTCGGCCCAAATCGACACAGCCTCGACGCACGAGCGGAGCGAGCGTCTCCAGGAAGGTCCCCACAATGGGCGTCCAGCCTTTTCCTTCGTGGCGAGAGGAGGAGCTCGGCGCGCCCGTCGCGGCGGCGGAGGTGGAGGCAGCCCAAACGGGGTCCGAGGCGGTGGGGCCAGGCAGAGGATCGCGCCGCGCCGCCGATGCGCCGGCGGTGCGCCGATGGGCGACGCTGGGATGGAGAATGAGCATGGGGCTCACGGCACGGCGCGACGCGTCAGCGGCACGGCGCGACCCGCCGGCCCCGTCCCCGGGCCTCCGACGGTGTGGCCTTGGTGCAGCAAGCGCGGCTTCCCCGGGGGTGCATCATGTAGCTTGTCGCCCCAGGCCCATGCAGTCTCGAGGGCCCCCGGGGGGGCCCAGTGGCGGCCCCGTGCAGAAAGCGCGGCTTCCCCAGGGGTGCAGTGCAGTTTGTGCCCTGGGGGCCCAGCGGCGCCCCCCCCGGGGCCCGAGCTCGAGGGAGAGCGCCCGCGGTGCAGCAGTCACGTCGCCGGAGGCCTGGGCCTCCCCGGCTTTGGATCCACCGTGCTTTGGCTGATCCTCCGATGTTGCAGACTGTGCCGGAGGCTGCAGACTTCGGCGTCTCCTCCTCCTCGTCTCCTCTTCTCTCTGTCTGTCTCTCTCTCTCTCTCTCTCTTTCTCTCCCCCCGGCGGGGTACTGGATGCACAATGGGCGGGCCGCAGCTAGGAAACAGCAAGAAGCTGTAGTCTCAGCGCTGGCGGACGCTAGCAGCGAGGTCGAAGCAGCAAACCGGGCAAACAAAAAAACATTCCCCCAAACGATACGAAGAAGTAGAGCGGACAGTCCCGCCTCAGAGAAGCAGGGCGGGTACCTCCACAGAGGCATGACGACGGAGCGACAGCAGATGGGGGCGGACATCGGCATCACAGGAGCTGGATGAGGAGGGCGGCCGCATCGCCCTCCTCGCAAATCGCCATCCTCGCGAATCGCCCTGCTCTCTTCGAACCGCCCCACTCGCGAGATCGCCCACAGCACAGGGCGGATCTGGTGTCGGGGCTGCCTGGGCCGGGGCCCCAGCGTGGGCGGCCAGCTCCCGGAGGAGGGGGGCGCCGCGCCCGGCGAGATCGACTGGCTCGACGAGGCGGCGCTGGACGCCGAGATCGCCGCCGCGGCCGAGGATCAGTATCGTTTCGGCCATCCCCATCCCTCGCCCTCCACCTTCAGCACCTTCCGCGCGGCAGGTTCCACGCCGCGGCGGCCGCCGCCGCGGCCGCCATTGCGGCTTGCGCCGAGGCCGCAGCAGCGGTTTCGGCGGCGGCGGCGTCCGCCGCGGCGCGGCACCTGCCGCGCGGAAGGTGCGGAAGGTGGAGGGCGAGGGATCCCCATCCCCATCCCCATCCCCATCCAGACCCCCCACATCTCAGCACCCCAGTTGGGGAGATTCCCTCCGAGACCCGAAGGGAACGGCCTACATATCCCCATCTAGGGGTGTGAATCGGCCAGTGGGGCCCAGGCCACGCCAGCGGGGATAGGGATCGGATAGACGGTGCTCAGAGGAGCTGGAGCTGGAGGAGCTGGGCGGCGAGGCGGCCGACGGTGCGCCGGAGGAGGCGCCGGGCCTCGGGCCCGGCCGGCGCACCCTGAGGGCTGGGCTTTTCGGGCGGGGTTCCCTGACCCTCGCCCTCCACCTTCCCAGACCCCCTCGAGTAATGAAAAAATCATGACGGGAGGTTTTTCCTACTTTTCGGCCTCCGGGGGCCCTCACCGGGCCTCGGGAGCGTCAAAAAACGACTCAGGATGCAACGCCGGTCATGGGGAAAGGGTCGGGACCACTGGGGGTCGACGTAATAAAAAATCATTACGTCGGGGGTCTGGGTTCCGCACCTTCCGCGCGGCAGGTGCCGCGCCGCGGCGGACGCCGCCGCCGCCGAAACCGCTGCTGCGGCCTCGGCGGAAGCCGCAATGGCGGCCGCGGCGGCGGCCGCCGCGGCGTGGAACCTGCCGCGCGGAAGGTGCGGAAGGTGGAGGGCGAGGGGAGATCCTGGCGTTGCAATTCTTTCACGAGAGGCGTTGTCGCTCAATTTCGGGCCCATGGGACCCTCGCAGATCGATCCGGCCCGAAAGATGGCAGAATGATGGGGTCCGGGACTCCGGGCGTGATTTCTTGCGATGTTGCAATCTTTTCGCAACGTCGGATCTCAGGGTTTGGGCCCCATCAGGACCCTCCCGGGCCGACCTGGCTGGAGAGACGAGGCATCCCAGAGAGGGCCTTGCCTTCGAGAGGACCGAGAGAGGGTTGGCACCTCGCTTCCTCGGCGGAAGGCGGCGGACGTAACAAACGAGGCTACCCGCGCTGGCGGAAGCGGGCGGAAGGGCGGCGGAAGGTGGTGGAAGTAAAAGCTGCGCGCCAAAAGAGGTGGCAGCATTTTTGGGTTGAGCGTTCCCGGAACCCGCCAATGCCGCAGGAAGGCCTTGACTTCGGATCCGCTGTATTTGGGCCGGCCGAGTCTTGGGTTTACAAGTGCGGCGTAATTGCACCCCGAACGGTGTGAGAAGGGTGGCAGGCAGTGCGGGTGATGCCGCAAAGGCATGGCGGCAACAGCGACGGCCACGTTGGGGGGAAATCGCCATCGGAGGAGCTTGGAAAGCAGGGCGGAAATTTCCGCCCCCACTTGCGACGTCGCCCAGCGTTCGGCGGGCGTTGCAGTTTTGCAGAGGAGGGAGGAGGGGGAGGGAGGAGGGGGAGGAGGAGGAGGAGGAGGAGGAGGAGGAGGAGGAGGAGGAGGAGGAGGAGGAGGAGGAGGAGGAGGGGGATCAGGAGAGCTGGGCGTTGCAGTACTGCACGCCAGGCGTTTTCGCGCGGGGCTCGGGCCCTGGGGGCCATCACGGAGCGGTCGGGCTCGAGAAGTGCCGCAGGAAGAGGGGGCCTGGAGCTCAGGCGACGCGCGAGCACGGCTGGGATCTTGCTGTTCTCTCGGGGATGGCAGCGAGCTCGCGCGCTGAGGGCACCTCTGCGGGGGCCTTTTTCGGCGAGCTCGCTGCCAGCTCGTCGCCGCCGTAGCTAGCCGAGGAGCTGGAGCTGGAGCCGGGCGGCGAGGAGGCCGACGGCGAGCTCGCGGAGGCGCCGGGGCATCGGCATTCTAGCCGAGAAGGTCCTCCTCCCTCCCTCGCTCCCTCCCTCCCTCCCTCCCTCCTCCTCCTCCTCCTCCTCATCCTCCTCCTCCTCCTCCTCCTCATCCTCCTCATCCTCTCATCCCATCCTCCTCCCTCCCCTCATCCTCATCCTCATCTCATCCTCATCCTTCTCCTCCTCCGCTCCTCCTCCTCCTCCTCCTCCTCCTCCTCCTCCTCCTCCTCCTCCTCCTCCTCCTCCTCCCCCCCTTCTCCCTACTCCCTGGGTCCCTCCTCCTGCTCCTCCGCCTCCTTCTCCTCCGCCTCCTCCTGCTTCTCCTTTCGGATTCGTCAAGGCAAGCACCCCAAGAAGCATGTCCTCCTCCTCCTCCTCCTCCTCCTCCTCCTCCTCCTCCTCCTTATCCTCCTGATTCTCCTCCTTGTCCTACACCTCTTTCTGGACTCGCGGGGTGCTGTCTCTTCAACACGAGGACCCAACACCACAGGATGGTTGGGGACAAAAAATGACGTCGGGCGACTGGGTATCCTGGAGTTCCGATCGTCCGTGTCTTCGACGAGCTTCCCTCCACTGGGTTACGCATTTGTTTTGCATCGGACGCTGTTCGGTGTGTGCCGAAACAGAGGACACAAGGCAAATACAGCATAAGGCATATTCAAACATATCGAGGGGTCGCGCGGATTTCTCGGATCGGCGCAGGACGCCCCCTCGCTGGCGCCGACCTTGGGAATCCGCGCGGCCTTCCGACAGCTTAGGCCAGTGTCGTTGCTTCGGCCTTTACTATTGTACTCGGGGCCCGCGCTTCGTCACCTGAGCTTGAGACTGGGGAGTCCGACAGGCCCCCGCGACTCCGCGGGAAGTTTGGGCAGATTCCAGATTTGGAGCTGGCTGGAGTCAAACAGTTTCTCCTGGGCTCCTGCAGGGTCCCAAGTGGGCTGAAGAGGCTTTCTCGAAGGTTGGAGTGGCTCCGTAACGGCTTCTGGAAGGTATTATAATTTTCCGCACGAAGTAAGAAGTCGGCCTCAGCATTGGCGCATGAAGCAAGAAGTTGGCATGCCAGCATGTGCCGAAATGTCTTATCCCTCTGTGGCCCCAGGGCCCCAAGGACCCGCAGAAGCTCTGGAACACCTCACGACCCTCAGAGATCAACGAAGAGTGTGCCCCTACATGGAGCGAGAAGAATCTGCCGCCGCCCGTCGATCGGGCCGAGGCGGTGTTGCTCTCGAGTGCTGCCTCGGGGGCCCTCGAGGGAAAGAGCCCCCACGTCCTGCAAGCAGTGCCCGCCCTCTATTGGGGCCTCCTGCCTGGCTCGCTGGAGGAGCCGGATCGGTACGGCCCGTGGGCGCCCCGTGGGCGCCGCGTGGGCGCTCCGCGCTGGGGGGGGGGCACGCCGAAGCTCCGCCTGGGTGCCCCTGCCGAGGCCTCGAGCGGCGGGCGCCGCGTGGGCGCCCCGCGCTGGGCGCGGGGAGTGCGCCGAGCCCAGGCCTCGCCCGGCGCCCGCCCGCGGGCGCGCGCCGCGCCGAGGCCTCGGGCGGTGCCCGCGCGCGGTGCCCTCGTGGGCGCCCCGTGCGGGCGGGGGGGGGGGGGGGGGGGGGGGCGTACCGAGGCGTCGTCCCGGTGCCCGCCCGCTGGAGCCCCGTGGGCGCCCCGGCAGCTGGCGCCACGCAGGCTGCACAGCATGGCGTTCACCACCTTTAGCTTGCACCACGTAGCCTGCACCAGATCCGCTTGCGCCACACAGCTTGCGCCGCACAGCAGCTTAGGCCACACGGCGTGCCCCACGGGGATTGCACCACGCAGCTCACGCCACCTAGCTGGCGCCACATAGCGTGCACCACGCAGACTGTACCACGTGTGTTGCACCACATCGCTTGCTTGCACCGCGTAGCCTAATTACGCATCCACGGTGCACTAAGTGCTGCTTGGGGCCTACGCTGGCTAGCAGTTCTTCTTATTGCAGGATGTCTTCTCGCACGTGTCTGCTGAACCGGCAGGTTTTGGGTGGCTCTACAGTCGGGGCGCTGAAGAAGGAACCCTTTTCGTTGGGGAGGGGCTCGGCGTTCCTAGATTGTTGTGCAGCTTGTCTTGGGTTGCCCTGAGGTCTTCCATGGGGAATCGAAGTTCAACTCTTGGGAAAAAGGGGCCTCGTTCCTTATTTAGGGTACCTTAGGTCAGCGCCCCGACTGTAGGTGGGGGCAGTTGGGGGACCCTTCGGACGCCCGGGGGCCGTGGTGGGCGCCACGGTTCTACACTGGGCCATCCAGAGAAGGCGTGGAGGAGCCATCTTGAGTCTTGGTGCCGTCCGTGCGGGTCGTTGGGCCGCCTTGGGCCGGCCCTGGCGAGCCCGTGCTTTTTGCCGATCCCCATGCTTTCCCAAACCTGTCGTTCGGTCAGCCATGGCTCTGCACAGGGGGAAGCTCCGCGTCTGGGGTCGCGGGCGGGCGGGTGGAGAGCGGATGCCTCTCGCAGGCTTAGTTGCGCTGCCTTGCACCTTGGCTCCGGCCGCGCCCGCGACGCTCTGGATGGCGCGGGTCGCCCCCCGATCTGCTGCCGTGCGTTGGGATGCAGCTCCTGGGAAGTTAAGTTCAGCATCGGCGCTGGCACGTCCGCGATCGAGAACAAATCCCGTTCAGTCCGGCTCGATCCCGCGGAGTCGGGCCTGCTCTCGGGCGCAGTCCGTGCCAAGCAAAGCTGGCATCCCCTGTCGAGGCGGGCGGCCTTCGACCGCCAGCGCTCGGCCTGGGCACCAAGCGGACCATCTGCAAGTTCTGGCAGGAGGGCCGGTGCAAGAACGGGGACGGCTGCACGTGGGCGCACGGCGAGGACGACATCGGCTCCCCGGCGCCGTTTGCCGACGAGGGGGCGGTTGTCGGCTGCACGCAAGAGTGGCGCCCCGCCGGAGTGCACTTCCCTGAGATCCCGACGCTGCAATCTTTGCGCACCAGGCGTTTTCGCCCGGTGTCGGGCCCCCAGGGCCATCACAGATCGAGCCAGCTCGAGAAAGTGCTGTGTACAACGATTGGGTCTCCGCGCTTCAGTTGCGATGTTCCGCGATGCTGCAGCTTCCTCCGCAGCAGCGTCGGAACTCCTCCTCCTCCTCCTCCTCCTCCTCCTCCTCCTCCTCCTCCTCCTCCTTCCCCTCCTTGTCCCCCTCCCCGTTCTTGTCCTCCTCCTCCTCCTCCTTCCCCTCCTTGTCCTCCTCCCCGTCCTTGTCCGTCCCCTCCTCCTCCCCCTCCTCCTCCTCTCCTCCTCCTCCTCCTCTCCTCCTCCTCCTCCGCCCTCCTCCTCTCTTCCTCCTCCCTTCTCCGTACTCCCTAAGTCCCTCCTCTTTCTCCCCTCCTCTCCTCTCCTCTCCCCCCTCCTCCTATGTCAACTTGTCCTAATCCGCCTCGACTCCTCCTCCTCCTCCTCCTCCGGATTTTGCGACACAGGGTGCGGGGCTCTCGGGCGTTTTCGTCCGCTCGGCGGGGGGCCTTCCCGCCTCGGGGTGCGCTCCAGCTGCCGCGCCTCGCCGAGAGCGCTGCGCGTCGCCCGGGCCGGCCGCCGCAGGCCCGCGGACGTCCCCGCGCTGGCCGGCGGGCGTCGGCCGGCCCGCGGCGCCCTTCAGGCCGCGCACCAGGCAGAGGTCCCTCTCGCGCGGGGCCCCCCCAGGCCCCAGTCGGGTATAGCCAGGACCAGGGTAAAGGAGGAGGAGGAGGAGGAGGAGGAGGAGGAGGAGGAGGAGGAAGCGGAGGAGGAGGAGGAGGAGGAGGAGGAGGAGGAGGAGGAGGAGGAGGAGGAGGAGAGGAGGAGGAGGGAGAGGAGGAGGGAGGGAGGGAGGGAGGGGAGGGAGGGAGGGAGGGAGGAGGGGGGAGAGCCCCCAGAACATGGATTGGAAGCGCTAGGCCAGGCAGAGGTCCCTCTCGCCCGGGCCCCCAGGCCCCTTCCCGGACTTTTTCTGTTTCGTCAGCGGCGAGGCGGCGAACTCCGCTCCAGCGAGGAGCTAGGTAGGGGCACCAACTAGCGAATCGGCCGGCGAGCGAAGATGGAGGGGGGGACGGCCGAGAGGACGAAGAGACGCTCAGACGCCGAGCAGCGACGATGAGCAGCCGGGGGGGGGGGGCAGCAGCAGCCGGGCGCGCAGGGCCAGAGCGCGGTGGGCAGCCGTGGCGAACCACGGTGCCCCTTCCCAGACACGATCGCGTCGCCAAAAATTCAGGACGGCGGTTTTTCGTCGTTCTCGGCCTCCCGAGGCCCTCGACGGACCCCGGGACCGTCAACAAGCGGCTCCCGACGAGAAGCCGTTCCTGGGGAGAGGGTTGGGACCTCGGGGGACCGCGCATCGCAGGTTTGGGTTCTCGTCGCGCCCACACGACGACGGGAGGTGGTCGGATGGCTCTGGCCTCCGGGGGCCCTTGCCTGGGCCCCATGCAACAGAAACCGGCATCGAACAGTTGGCCCCGGGGGCCCAGGCCGCGAGAAGGCAGCACCGTGCTGGCGGCTTGGGGCCTCTCCTCTTGCGCGCAGCCGAGGTTGCAGCCATCCGCGCCAGGATCGGGGGCAACTCAGCCACGCGCAGAGGGGTGTGTGGGGAGGGGGAGGGCTTCTTGGAAGCGCCGCTGCTTCTTCGGAGGCGCGGGCCTGATCTATAGACCTACGGCCGGCACCTCCTGAGGAGCAGCCTCCCTCTAAGAAACCCTCCCCCCTCCCTCCACCCCCTTGCGCGCGGCGCCAAGCAACGACAGGGGGGACCGGCCCACGGGGGGGAAGCATCAGCCCCAAATCGCCCACTCATGTCCAGTCGGGGCCCGGGCCCCGCGCCACGCCCAATCGTGCGGCGCGGCTTCGCTGTCGGAGGCCCGTCGCCCATCTTTCGGCGACGCATCGCCGATTCCAGCTCGATGCGTCCCCCCAGGCGGAAGAGGATGAGGAGGATGGGGGAGGAGGAGGAGGAGGAGGAGGAGGAGGAGGAGGAGGAGGAGGAGGAGGAGGAGGAGGAGGA